GTATATAGGGCTAATTTTACCAATTTTCAGTCGGTCTGGAAAAGTTCCATTTCTCATGTGTTCATTAAATAATACTGACAGGAGTGGGCTTATAATCTTATACGTTCGTTTGATGACGTGAATAGGGATGTCACTAGCTTTTCCATTCTTGAGTTCGCTAATGATTTTCTCTATTTCTTCTGGTGTACAATCGCTGAGAAATATACTTGAGGTATTTGGCCTTGGTAAGTAGTCCGTAAAGCATTGAATTGGACTTAGTCTAATTTGACCGGTTGTACTGTATGATTCATTCAACTTAGTGCAGGTGATGCTAAAAAGACTTATTCCATCGTTAATAAGTTGCTCAATAAAGAAAAAGTTAGTACTACTACACCTTCTTGCTCTTCAAATCTTGAGAGTGCTAACAACTTTGCACAGTTCTTTAAATCAAAGGTCGACAACATATACAACAACATTTATTTAGAACAACAATCCCAAGATTCTCCTAACTCAGATGAATTTGTTCCTCTTTCTAATAGCCCAAAGATAGTACAATTCCGTCATGTGTCTGATGAAGAACTAGTAAGCATCATAAAGAATATGTCTAACAAATTCTGTGATCTTGACCCCATACCTACAAAGATTCTCATCAAGTGTCTCCCAGAACTCCTTCCTCTGATCTCATTTATAGTCAATGAATCATTAGTTAAAGGTGAGTTTCCTATAAAACTTAAGGAGGCTCTCATTCGTCCAAGTTTGAAGAAACGTGGCCTTGACGGTGAATCTCTATCTAACTATAGGCCTATTAGCAATCTCTCATTCTTGTCAAAAATCATTGAGAAGTGTGTATCTATACAGCTCACCAGTTATCTTGAGGATAACAACTTGCTTTCTAAAGTTCAGTCCGGCTATAGGAAGTTTCATAGCTGTGAAACTGCAACAACCAGAATCCATAACGACATCTTGATAACTATTGACAAGAAAACTAAAGTTGTTCTTTTACTTCTAGATTTGAGTGCTGCATTTGATACTGTCAATCACCCAAGATTAATCAAGAAGCTAAGATCTGCTTATGGCATTACAGGCATTGCTCTTACATGGATCAGGTCCTACTTGGCTAACCGTTCATTTTGTGTCAAAGTCAAGGATTCGTCTTCCTCAGCAACTGTTCTTGAGATAGGTGTGCCACAAGGTTCAATCCTTGGCCCCCTGCTATTCATATTGTACACCAAAGATCTTGAGAACATTGCAAGTATGCATGGGTGCTATATTCATTTGTATGCTGATGACACCCAGCTGTATTTCACTCTTGATTCTGATGACCCATCACAGCTAGAGCACAATATGGAACACTGTATGTCTGATATCAAGAAATAGATGACAAACAATTTCCTTCAACTGAATTCTTCTAAGACTGAAGTCATCGTTATATCCTCTAAATTTGACTCACAAAATATTCCAGCCTCTCTACAGATTGTTAAGGATCAAGAGCCACATGTTGTTAGTGGAACTGTGAAGAGTCTTGGGCTGTATTTGGACAGTTATCTTTCAATGAGTGATCAGATTACGTCAGTGGTTCAAGCATGTAATATTCAGATCAGAAATTTGTGGTTTATTGCATCAAAACTGTCTTTTAACCTTAAGATTCAGCTTGTTCATGCTCTAGTACTCTCTAGAATTGATTATTGCAATAGCGTATATTTTGGACTGAGCTCTTATGATTTAAGTCGTTTACAGAAGGTGCAAAATTCTGCTGTAAGATTTATTTTCGGGAGAGGAAGAAAGGCACACACTACTCCACTACTTAAGAAAGTTCATTTTCTACCAGTTAGATTTAGAATAGATTTTAAGATTGCCCTACTTGCCTACAAGTGTTTAAATAATATAGCTCCTCCTTACTTAAAAGAGTTGATATCTCCTAGGCAGCAAAGTTTTAAAAATGTACGTCTTGATAATGATTATTTTTACCTTAGTTTTCCGCCCTCTCCTAACTATGTAAACACAGAGAAAGCTTTTAGTCACTGTGCAGTTAAAGTATTTAATTCCTTGCCATACGACATAAGATCAGCTGAGTCAGTTACATCTTTCAAGACCAAACTTAAAACATACTTCTTTTCTCTAGCATTTGATTGATTTTGCATTTACATAGGTAAAATGAACTTGTCATGTCTAATTTTCAATTAAACTAAGCTCAGTTAATGTAAGAGCCGCTTTAGAAAGCACTGGAGTTTATCTCCAGGATTAAATTATATCGAGTTATATGATTTAGCTATAAGGCGGTTTATAAATGTTGTATTTATTATTATTATTTATTAGTAAATGAATTGTTAACAAATTGGTAATGGGTTAGCACACTAACGCTGCACTCACTATCACTGCACGTCACTCTACACAGACCTCAAACACAACTCTCACTCACTTAACCTCGTGAGTGGTGTGGTAATGTGATTACAAACAAATCTTCCCAAAACTGTAAATCCTTCTTAATAACAGTTCAAACTTCTTATAAACTACTTCTTCTAACTTCTTCTAACTTCTTAGAAACTAATTCTTCTATCACTTCCCCAGAAGTGATGTGAACGTGTTGTGATATTCCCTTACTCACAAACACTAGATCTTCTCTTTAGGTTCTTCTGTGTGGTCCCCGTGACACACACACACACTGGAACTTGACTTGTCTGGCTTTCACTCTTACAGCAGCAGACACTCACTAGAACTAAAAACAACCCTGTAAATATAAGAAAGTATGTTAGAAAGTAGTAACCCCAAAACTACAAACCTAGGACTAAAGGAACTACTACAAAGAAACTGAAACTACTACATAGAAACCAAAATAAGCTAAACATTACACTACCTGCCCTTCAGGGTTAGCTCTCGTTCCGTTCACCTGAATCCTCTATATTTACATCCTTGTTGTATTTACATGCTAAGGGAATGAGTGTGTGTGAAACAACAAAACATAACCACTCAGACATATAGTACAGACAGATCCGTCTGAAAAAATCGATCTGCCGACACACAAAGCTTACAAAGGATTTTTGACATTTTTGAGTCCTAATAGATGTCCTTTATGGCTGACCAACTTTTCCAAACTTTTCCACGTGTCTTAAGGCCACTTTTTGCCACTTTACCACTTTTTACCACCTTTCTTGTTTGTCGAATATCTTTAGTTGTGAACATCGTAAAAGGTTGCGGATCAATCGAGTGTGTTCATATTACCATGAAAAAAAACTTTTGTTGTAACAAGTTTTACGTCAGATAATCAGTTAATTGGATAATTATCAATTAGCTAATTAGCAAAATTCTAAAAATTTTTTATTGGCTCAAAATGATCGGAATAGCTTAAAACACGGAGAAAAGTAGTTTTTAGAAAAACTTTGAAAATTTTTCACTCACATTTTTTTTCGAGACTTGGAAAAATTTCGAAAATTCAAAATATTTTTTTCCGCCAAAAGTGATCAAATTGCATGAAACGCGGAGAAAAATGCTTTTCAAAAAAACTTAGTGAATTTTTCGTTTCAAGAATACTGAAATCACCAATATTTGTAACTTTGGAGTTCAGTAAATCGCGGCAGATTTTAGTAATGAGAAATTACTAAGTGGAAAGGTCTGAAACTGAAAAACGTTAACCATACGATATAAGAGTTTCATGACTAATTACAATACAGCCTTATCGATTTTCACAGAAACTGCACCAATGGCACAGTCAAGATCGAAAGACGAAACGATAGCCTGCTGTACTATCATTTTATTGATTTCAATGATGAATCAGTGGGGTTAAGATAATCACATTTGTAATAAATAAAAACTCTCTGTACCGTCAATTGTGCTAATCTAAACCGGCCTACCTGGATTACCATACCTCTTCTTTTCCTCAACAATCAAACCAAGTTGTTCATATCGCATTTGGTGGGCGATTTAAGTACATATCGAGCTGTATTCAATCACAATACGACACAATGCAATACGTGTATATTATATTATGGCCCTTAATGAGGTATATGAAACGTTCTATACCGTACACTTCTCGTTTCTCCCGTGAGGCGTGAGAGGCTTTACAGTTTATCACGAAAACGTCTACTTGGCCTCATAACTCTTTGACAGCTCAAAGAAGGCAAGAAAAGACCAGAAAGCTTAAAATGTCAACTCGCTCTTTTCAATGCTCTTCGATCTGTCCCGAGCTGATCATAATGGGCCCCGAATATCCTGCGGGAAGAACTGTATTTTTACTTCACAACGTCCAGATTTCAAATCAACATCCTCAATAACATTAACAATCCTTCCTGATCAGGATCTGTCTCTATTAGCAATTTCCAAAATATCCTGACTCTCGTGGAACATTTTACTGAATGAATTATTACCGGTTCTTTACTACCCCTTGCCCGACGCTCGTATCTAAATCTTATCCTTGCCCGTATGTTACCCTTGTTGATTTTACTTTTAGCCGACCCTGACATATGGGGGTGATTTTATACCGCATAGCAAATGAAGCGGTATGCAGTACAATACAAAACAAGTCACAGTAGATGTTGGAAGGTGTATTTACACTTGCTTCCTGGATCTGGCTGTTCCTTAGTTTCCTTGGTCTGTTCTTGCCTTCTTCGAACTGTAAATGAGCCATGAGGCCAAGTATACGTTTTCGTGATAAACTGTAAAACGTCTCTATACCGGGTTTCTCACGGTATTAAGCGTTTCATAAACCTCATTAAGAGCCATATAATATACACGTATTGTGTCGTATTGTGATTGAATACAGCTCGATAAGTACTTACATCGCCCACCAAATGCTATATGAACAACTTGGTTTGATTGTTGAGGAAAAGAAGAGGTCTGGTAATCCAGGTAGGCCGGTTTAGATTAGCACAATTGACGGTACAGAGAGTTTTTATTTATTACAAATGTGATTATCTTAACCTTAAATTTGATCCTTCGAACAGCTGTTGAGCAATGAAACGCAAACATAATCTTAGCAAAATGAATATATTTCTTTTATCTTCAGCATTTAATCAGTCACATAATCTCAAATTATTTGTTATATAGTAGTGTTGAAAGTATTAAAACTCTATATTATCTTAACCCCACTGATTCATCATTGAAATCAATAAAATGATAGTACAGCAGGCTATCGTTTCGTCTTTCGATCTTGACTGTGCCATTGGTGCAGTTTCTGTGAAGATCGATAAGGCTGTATTGTAATTAGTCATGAAACTCTTATATCGTATGGTTAACGTTTTTCAGTTTCAGACCTTTCCACTTAGTAATTTCTCATTACTAAAATCTGCCGCGATTTACTGAACTCCAACTACAAATATTGGTGATTTCAGTATTCTTGAAACGAAAAATTCACTAAGTTTTTTTGAAAAGCATTTTTCTCCGCGTTTCATGCAATTTGATCACTTTTGGCGGAAAAAAATATTTTGAATTTTCGAAATTTTTCCAAGTCTCGAAAAAAAATGTGAGTGAAAAATTTTCAAAGTTTTTCTAAAAACTACTTTTCTCCGTGTTTTTAAGCTATTCCGATCATTTTGAGCCAATAAAAAATTTTTAGAATTTTGCTAATTAGCTATTTGATAATTATCCAATTAACTGATTATCTGACGTAAAACTTGTTACAACAAAAGTTTTTTTTTCATGGTAATATGAACACACTCGATTGATCCGCAACCTTTTACGATGTTCACAACTAAAGATATTCGACAAACAAGAAAGGTGGTAAAAAGTGGTAAAGTGGCAAAAAGTGGCCTTAAGACACGTGGAAAAGTTTGGAAAAGTTGGTCAGCCATAAAGGACATCTATTAGGACTCAAAAACGTCAAAAATCCTTTGTAAGCTTTGTGTGTCGGCAGATCGATTTTTTCAGACGGATCTGTCTGTACTAATATACATGTCTATGAATATAATAACTTAAAGGTAAAATATGATACTCCCCCTATTTTAAAGTTTTGAAAAGACTAAAACTAGCGCTTCGTGCGCGCGTAAAAAATTAAAACGAAAATGACATAAAATTAGGTCTACTTCACACAAGAAGGTTCCTGCGCGCTACGACAAGTACTCAAAATCTTCTCTGAGAAACATTTTCCAGTGGCCGCGACAAGCTAGTGCCCACGAAATCTCGCGTCCCATACCACGAGTTATTATTTCGGGGTAAATAGCCTGCCAAACACGCCTCAAGAACATGTTTCCTTCACAGAAAGACATTATCAATACTAAAATCTTAAAATACGCTCCCACCCCTATGGATCAGACAGCAAACAGTGCAGAATCCACAGAAACACCTAATCAACACACCAACCTTACAACACAAACACCTAATCAACACATCAACCGTACCACCCAACTTTCATTTAATGACTCACTCATATCACTATTTGGACAGCATGCATCCACACTGGCCAAAACCACCTCTCACAGCATAGAACACATGGCCATTAACTCATGTCACATATCATTCCTGAAAGCCTGCCGTGATCACTCACTCATCCCTAAGGGACTCAGACTCACCAACCCACTATCCACCAAACGCTCAACTGAAGTCCTCACTCACGCATCTAACCTCCTCATCACTGAAAGACTCAACCACTATCGCCTCAAATATGCACAACACAAACGCACTTATGAGCACAACCTCAGACACATAGAATCACTCATAACCCCTCAATATTTTCAGAAACTAGGACACCTCAACACCAAAAAATCCTCATACACCCACAGAAAACAACTCCTTACTCACCAAAAGAAGTTCGCGGTACTACTCTCAGAATACGACACCCCGTTCCTCTCACCCTACGACACTCTTAAAACGCTCGACATACCCTCTCCCACATTTCATGGTCCCCTCCTCAAGACCTCACCTACCCCCAAGAAAGACACCACAGCCAAAACAGTGATCAACCTCTCCGGACAGACCCTCTCCACAGCTGAAACTGACGTCCTCTCCCTTGGACTGAAGTTCGTCCCGACACCTACCTCAGATCCTACCCCCGACCTGGCTCCCCTCATACAGAATATCACTAAACAACTAGGAGAAGGCATGGAAGCCTCAGCCACATATCAGGTCACCTCTGTATTATCTAAATTTGACAATAAACGTGACATGACCACCGACAATTTGACTCCACAACAACGTACCGCTCTTAAATCTTTAAAATCTAAGAAATCTGAATTGAAATTTCTTCCTGCTGATAAGGGCAACGCCACTGTTGTACTGACTCACGATCAATATGCGAGGACTTTGTGGAGGGCTACTCCCAAGACGAAGGTGGTACAATGGGATCCCCCCTCATTGTTGAACTAGCTGAAATCCGCCTTGCTGAAATCGAGACCTTAGCTTTATCCTCATGTCCTGACCCTCCGAACACTTACTCCCATTTCGTTGACGACGGCCTTGGATCTTTCAGAGACAGAAACCACGCAGAATCCTTCCTTACATTCCTTAACTCCCTTACTGAAGACCTCAACTTTACCCAAGAACATCCCTCTACAGACGGAACTATACCATTCCTTGACGTTCTCATCCACCCTGACAAATCCACATCAGTCTACAGAAAACCCACCCACACCAACCTCTACACCAAGTACTCCTCCTGCACCACCAACTCATCTAAGAACGCAGTCATCCGATCACTGACCAGAAGAGCCCACAACATCTGCTCACCCCAACACCTTGACGACGAACTCCAGACAGAAGTACAACGGAAATTCACCAACCCCTCTCGCCACCAATCCCTAGCCTCATTCAACCGACAGACCCGTGAACATGCCCTTAGTGTTTCTCTTCCTTTCCATCCCTCCCTATCCAAACCCATCTCCAAGATACTCGGACAACACGACATCAAAGTCACCCACTCCTCTGCTACCTCCCTCCGCAACCTCCTCACCAAAACGAAGACCACACCCCCTACTCACCTCACTCCCAACACCATCTACGAAATTTCCTGTTCACAGTGCCCCTCCAAATACGCCGGACAGACCTACAGACCCTTGGTCCACCGCATGAAAGAACACAAACGATGTTACAGACTCAACAACGCCATCGACGAATCCACAGACAGAATCAAATCAGCCCCTGCACATCATGCCCTGACCACCGGCCACACCATCTCCTGGAACAACATCGAAGTCCTCAAATCCCTCACCTCACGCTCCCAACTTGACCTCACAGAACACGCAGCTATACAAATACGACAACCAGCTATGAACAGAACAGACCGCGCACCCAAATGTAGTTCCCTCTGGGACCCCATTCTTCCTAAAATTGCCAAATCCTTAAAGTCCAGACCATCTGGCATTTCCTTCTCAACCTCAACAGAAGACTAAATTTTGATTGACATTGTACTGTAATTTTCACTTTCCCACCCACACGGCACACCTCCCCCACCCTCCATCCCTGACACCACTCATTCACATATAAGCATTGCCCACCACATCACATTCAGCTGACGACGATTAACACATGTTTATTGAAAGCTTCTACAAGTTAAATCATCGTATCTCTTATATGTTTTTAACCCAACTCCACTAAGTTCCTCCATATCTTCAGTAGTTCAACAAAATAATCAGCAGAATCTTCCTCTCTCAAGAGTGATCTTCAGTTTACTGTAGTCTGCGTTCTTCTTTGTGAGACAATCAGCAAGCATCTCTTTAGTAGGAATCCACTTGATAGCTTGAACTTCTCCTGATTTCACTGTCTGTCTGATACCAGCTATGTCTAGCCTCATTCTCATGTCTAGACACTGTTTTGTAGATGTAACCTGTTGGTAAAGCTGATTGGAATCCACATATCCAACAATAGGTATGACTGCCTTTGTAGGATCATCGTAGAGTATCTCTGATATCAGTTGTCTGACATAAATGGCTGCTGAACAACCATATACACATCCCAAAGTTTCTGCTCCAAACACAGAGTGAACTACCCTCTTGATCTTGTTACTAGACCAGGCAACAAGTGAAGCTCGCCTTCTATCAGATATGAAGACTAGATAGCCTCTCCCACTGTCTATCTTGTTGGGCAGGTTACCCAAACTGGCATCTGAGTAGAATATTACTTGCAGTTCACCTTGATCAATATCCATTTCGGTATATTTGATCTCTTGGGGTCCATAGTTAACTTTCTTAACGACCTTGTTAAGAATACTGAGGTGTTTGACTTTAGCTGAACTTGTGTAGGTCGACAGTTCCATCGTGTCATAGCTGAGGTCAGGTCTGGTTTGACTACTTAGCCATAACAACTTCCCCAATGTTTCTTGATATTTGGTCTTCTCTGAATCATTCAAGAAACGCTCACTGTCTTTAGGCGATTTTGAGTTGACAGTTACAGGTTCAATGGACTTGCAGTATTCTCGCTGATTCACAGATATGTAACCATTTTCTTGAGTTATTGACCATCCAATGCAAGGTATGTGAAATCTTTTCCGTTCATTCTTGATATCTTGAAGTATGACAGTACTTTTCTCATAATCTCTCTCTGGAACTTGGTGTTCCCAGCATACAGTAGATCATCAACGTGGGTTACTATGATACCACACAAACTATTCCTCTCATCATAGTACCTGAATACTGACTGATCTAGAACTGAGATAACACATCCAGCCTCTATGAGTCTATCTCTTAAAGTTAGATACCATCTTCTAGCACTATCACCCAAACTGTAAAGTGGTTTCTTTAGCTTCCAAACAATGCCTTTTCTCCTTATGTCAGTTGGTGGTTTGACAAAAATCTCCCTGTCGAGTTCATCTGCTTGGAAGAAAGCACTTGTTACATCTAAACTCTTTACTTCCCATTTTCGGCATGCAGCAACTGTGAACAGCCTCTTACTAATTTTATTCACAGTCGGAGCATCGGACTGTCCGTTAAGTTCTTCTTGGAATCCTCTGGCAACTAGTCTTGCCTTGTACTTTCCATCTCCTTTTGAAGTTATGACCCACCTAGACGTTACACTGGTTTGTCCATGGTCTTTAACTTCAACAAACACGTCGAATTCTTGAAATCTCTTGATCTCCTCCTCTTTAGCCTTGATGAGAGCTGGGTCGTCCTTTTCAACATCCGTT